GCATAAGCGGGTGCAACATTATAGTAGTAGGGTTATATTGGGGTTATAGTAGTAGGGTTATATTGGGGCTTTGCAAGCTGTTTGGGGATTTCCCAAGATTAGGGGTACCATTTTAGGGGTCCCATAGTAAGGACCATAGTATTTTGGGGTCTATATTAGGGTCCCCCTATTTAGCTAGGGAAACTACCATATAAGGGTTTTGAGAGGGTAGGAAGTATGGACATTCTTCTGGGAGTGCATGACTTGCAGCATGACTGGTAGCAGATGAAGTGATGCTTGCAAGGAAGACAAGATGTATGTACATTCGAAGCGTGGCATTAAGAATCATGGGTCAGCTGGCAAGAATCTGTCAATTCAAACTTGGGGAGGTGAAGTCCTTACACCGCGCATGTGTGTAGCGACTGTTTCCTGGTTGTAGATATTGAAATCAGATTGCGACAAAACATGAGAATCTCCACCCCAGCGAACATCAACAAGTTTGAAATAGCCAGGAAACAGAGGCTTGCAAAACAGTAGGGCAAGTACTGGTTCCACTAACAATATTCCTTCTCCCCTCTGTGCAAATCAAACTCGCTCAAATTTAAATGTTGATTAGCTACAATCATTGTATTTTCCCATAGTGAACGGACATGGGTTCCTATTCACGGAACATATTACGTTAGGGGTCCAAGCACTCAATAATCATATACTTCCTCAAAACCTGTACTGCAATTACTAAAGCCATTCCTAAACACCCTAAATCGTAAAACCCTGAACCCTAAAACCCTAAACCCTCAACTTGTTGGGTACATGGACTCTTAGGGTTAGGGACTATATCAAAGTAGCCAAGGGACCCTTTAGTCCACCCTTAATGGTCCCTTCGTAAGTCTAAACATTCACAATAGGCCATAGGAACCACAGCATAACCTTAGGGTTTGGGGTTTAAACTGGGGTTATGACATAACCCCAGTTTGCATTTTCCATGTTAATTTCCACGTCCGTTTCCATTTGATTCTCCGTTCTTGGGGTATTAAACCCTACATGCGCCCTATAAACCTATATCACCCCAAATGGCCCTATCGTAGGAGCCCCAAAATGTAACCCTACATAGTTCGTGGGCTGATCCTCTCCCACTGGACGTTGAAGCAGGAAGAGCCAGTCCCACGGCAAAGGCGAGTCCTGTTGTGGTCTGTCCCTTACAAGCTTCTGTACTTAAGTCCTTGCAATGAAGGAAATTCTTGCAGCCTCCAAGGATGCATGGATAGTTTCAAGAGGCTTTGGGTCTTCTGAGGTGAGAACTGGTAACTGGGAAGAAGCCCCATCATGGGAGGTGGCTCTTGTGAGGTCGACTAACTGGGAAAGTGATGGCTCACTTGTGGATGCCCCAAAACATGGCTATTGGTGGCAAAGCGGCGGCAACTGCCTAGTAATGCGCAGGTCATACTCGGAGTCTTCGCAGGAAGAAAACAGTCGCTATCGGGACCGCAACAGGTCCACGTGAATGAAAACCAAGGCCTGCCCGGTTTTCAGCATGTCTCCAGTTGACCAACACAAGACACCCTGGCGAGGGCCAGCCACTACAACAATGAACTAAGAACCAAGCATGTCGTGCACCCTTACCCATCAGCCCGACATAGCCAGAAGAATGGCAGGCCATTTGAGTTTTCATCTTGGGCCACTGCATATACCTCCAAAATGAATTCCTCAACCCAACAGACCCCCCGCAGCAAAAGCAAACACCCAAATCAGGTTCCCGAGGTCAAGCTGACTATCTCAACAGGTTCCATCACGCGCAACGTATCCCTCATTCCCTACTAAACCCTAAGTAGTACTTTCCATTTCTGTTTCTATTATCGCTGTATTCCCTTATTCCCTAAACTCAACAACTTTCTGTTCTCTGCCTCAAAGCCTTACATTAAAGGACCGGATAACCCCACATGTGTAGCTTAACTAGAATCTAAACAGAGAATAGAAGAGAGAAGAAGAAGGCGACAAAGAAGGGGCAGTAAGAAGGGTCGAAGGCTTGGGGCTGAGGGTTTAGCATCTCAAGTCCGAGCATTCCTTTTAGGAGCAGCTGTCTCAAGTAAAAAAAATACCCACCCGCCCGGTAGGCCCCACAACATTCAGAAAATCTAGTACCTTCAAAATATTTCAAGCAACTCTTGAGAGTAAACCCTAAACATGGCCATGCCAAACTTTCCAGCTGATCCGTGAAAGCTGAAAGTTAGAAGAGCACGCGCGGAGAATTTGAAGGGTTAGCGCGAAAAAGTCCAACCGCAAAAGCGGAGAACTTCTAGGGTCAGGGTGAAAAAGTCCAACCGATTTGAAGGGTATTAGGGCGTAATAGTCTAACCGTAAAAGCCGAGAATCTGAAGGGTTATGGCGAACTAGTCTAGCCGTAAAAGCGGATAAGTTTGAAAAGTTAGGGCGGAAATAGTCGAAGAGGAATTTGAAGGGAGAAGATAGCGGGAACCGAGATGTCGGCGGGAGGGCCTAAAAGAGGAGGAGTTTAAAGGGAGCAGAGGCCGGGACCCGAGATGTCTGCGGGAGGATCTAGAAGAGGAGTTTAGACGGAATTTGAAAGGAGCAGAGGCCAGGATCCGAGATGTTCCCGCAAGGGTCTAGAAGAGGAGTCTAAAAGGGAGAAGAGGCCGGGACGCGTGATGTTTGCGGGAGTGTGTAGAACAGAAACGGGACGGTCTGGAAGACCTATTTTAAGGGGAGCATGGGACGGGTCGGTCGGATGGTCGGGCGATTGCATCTAACAAGTAGAACACCACAAAGAATGTGGTGAGAAACCTTATAGGCTCTTAGGCACAAAGCTCTGCATGTCTCTCGGCAGCCTTCAGCCTGGGCGGAACCTGCGTCAGACTGTGTGGTTCGGGGTTCAATACATCCTTGGCCCTATGTCAGACTTAACAGGCCTGTCACGCATGAACCCTACACCCAGTTGCAGTTTTCACGAGTGTTTAGTCTGTCTATGCAGCCCGGCTTCCTGGACTTGTTTTCGGGCTACGGGATTCAGAGTTCAGGCTCAGATCATGCCTAGACTAGCGCCTTAACTTTAGCTAGCAAAGGGATGGATGGGAATGTCAGTATGAATTCTTCACACCTGATGTCGGCGAGGGGCAAGCTGCCTTAGCATGGAGCGGTTGGGGGCATACAGCAACAAGGTCGGAGTACCGCAAGTAATGCTTGCAAAAGACTCGGAATACAGGAGATGACGGTTTGCGACACAGGCGTTGATTTTCTGATCTAGCTTGTGACTCGCACACTCTGTAGATCTTGACGTCCTGAAGTTCATAAATGCCTCTGCAAACCTCTGCAAACTCAGATTTGAAAAAAGAATAACGAATAACAATCTCGCGCACACTCGCCCTCCTGCTGCTGCCGCTGCCGCTGCCGCTGCCGCTGCCGCTGCCGCGGCCGCCGCCGCCGCCGCCGCCGCTGCTGCTGTACTGCTGCTCTGACTGTGCTGCTGCTGCTGCTGCTGCAGCAGAAGTTCCTGCAGCGCCCATCGTATTAGTATTGCTGCTAATGCTCAACTATTCACCGTAGCGTTGCTGCTTCTTCCACGTGGATAGCACAGGCATCGACCAGAACGATGATTGCGCTCGGGAGGTAACATAACTTACTGGTCCTTAGTGTACGAGCAGGGTTAGGGTTAGCAGGTGACAAGGGAACATATATTGGCGGCTATACAGGGATCATGGAAGGGCAAATAGAGCGTTGTTTGAAGCCCGTCCGCACCTGGCACTCGGAGGACAGGCCCAGCTCCGATCTCCAGCTATACTCCACGCGCTTGCACATCTCCACCTGTAGATGTGGAGGAGCGTGCAGGTGAAAGGTTTAGGGCTTTGCCAATTGGAAGCTTGGAAATCGGGAGTTACGCTTTCAAACGTGTTCAGACGCCACCCAGCTCTCATAGCAGCCAAGGCATGCCTTTGAACAAGCCCAAGCCCAGGAAGTGGAAGATACTGCAGCCTGCTGCAAACCGCGCAAGCCCAAAGTCAAATCCTACAAACGGGGCTCTACGAAACCATCAAGACAACATTTTGGCCGCAAGAATGCCAGGGCGTGAGGAAGCAGCAACACAAGCGGGCCAACCCTACCCTATATCATAACATTCATTGAAATCTCCTATAAACCCTGAGCCCTGGACCTGCCACAAAATGCTACACTCGACCCCCTCAAAAAGCCTCAACCAGTCTGGATAGGTGTAGACATCCCGAGGAAGACCCAGTGCCCACTCCAAGTCCTTAATTGACCCTACATGCCAAAACCTTGCAAACATTTCCCAGCCCCAAGGCTAAGTTAGACCCCTGATCCTTATCATCAGGCCGCCTGAAGACCAACCTTTCCGGCCATGTGCCGAAACTCAGGCTCCAGGTAATGCTTAGTGCGGACGCCGGACCTGCAAGTGCTGCTTGGGGCTAGTTACTTGGGGAGCGTAGGGATCAGGACAAAGCAAACACACGCAGAAACATCGGACAAATGGACAAGGCCGTACACCCATCCCTTAACTTCCTGGAAACCTAGAAAAGGTCCGTGCCCGTCCGTGGCCCAAGCGTGTTTCAGATCGGTCCTGCGTTGTGGTGTACTTAGAGCTTCGCTGGTAACTGGTTACAAGTGAGGTCACAGTTCTCCCGTACAAGATTGTGATATATTGTGATTCGATCTGCGAACCTCGATCTCAACACCCCACCCCTACCTGATCACCCCCTAGTGGCCATTCCTGATTATCCCATTACAGGGAAGCTGAAGGCCTCCGGAGAATGCCCCTCAGCAGATCAGCGCCCTCCGTGCGTGTGGGCTTGGAGCCGCCTACGCCCACGGTGTAGGGGCCTTCGTACTTCTCCTCGCTTTTGCGGGATCGCTCTTATGGAGTTGAGTCTATATATGGGGTTTTGGACACACAGATCCAGATGTAGAGCTTGGGGTGTCAGGCTGATGGGGGTTTGGGCAAGAGGTACTATGACTTCAGAGCATTGACAGAACCGCTCTAGGCCAACAATGGGCACACGTCAAAAAAGAGGCATAAGGACCACAGGCGCGCATGAGATGTACTGTCAAAACTCATCACGCCGTGCATGAGCCCCCAAAAGCCTTTCAGTTGATCTCGCGTGGATGAGCTCCGCTCAAGTCTTCTACCAACCTACAAGGTCCCCATCACATTGAGTACAAGCCCCCCCAAAACTCCACAAATCCTCACTGCTGCAAATTCTTTTAGCCCGCCCGCTGCGGGCCTTATTTTGGGACCCCAAAGTCTCCTCATCGCAGCGCATATTCACATACCTGGGGGCTGCTGGGTTGAAGGTCCAAAGTTCAGGAGTCCATGGTGGGGCTGCATTTTGGGTTTGATCCGAGGCACAAGTCGCAGTAGAGGTCCACAAGCTTCTTGCAACTTAAAGAAATATCCTGACCGCTTCAGACATCAAACCCAAATTTCGGTATCGGTAACTTTTGACACCGCAGGGGAAGTCTAGAGGAACCACAACATGTTAAGACGGCTTGCGACATGTTCAGCTAATTCCCTCCAAAGCGAGGAAAAGAAAGGTTTGCGGTCCTGGCGCTCAACCATGAAGGCTCGGCTGCTCCTTCTAGTGTCCAGCAACTTTGCTTAGGAATCCAATTGTTCCTGTCTACTAGCTACTTCTTATCAGCCTCAAAGCCAAGTTACATAGCGCTCTCCCACGCCGGGACAATGCAGAGTACGCGGCCGCCGGGGCACACCGAGCGATAAGCATTCCTCAAGTCAGGGGGTTTACCTCTGCGCACTCATATCCAAACCGCAAAAAAGCCTAAGCCTTGAAACCAAAACCTAAAGTTAGGAGAAACTGTCCAGGAGACAGCTAGCTGGGTTGAGGCTACCTTGGGACTTCAAGAAGCGAAAGAGGGCAGGGTCTAAACGAGCCACCGATGAAGTCCGCCCTCTTCCTAGAAAGGCCGACCAGTCCGGCACTTTGAGAAATTCCCACTTTCCATTCCCAAGCTGCAGCAGCATCCGCTGATGGAGGCTTGGGTCGCCAGGCGCAATGAGGACATTCGCCAGAACCTGGTCAATGTAAGCCCCAAGTCCAGTGCCATCCCCAGCATCACGCAGACAACCTCTACATCCTGGTAACCCCTTTCAAGAAGTGGCAGGGATTGATACCTTGCGCACCGTCAACCCGATGAGTGAAACAAGATGCTGCAACAGTGTCTCCCTGCAGTAGGGCTTGGAGTATATTAGATTCAGAATGGCCTGTCAAACACCTTGACGTGCACTTGCAGTCCGCGACTTGTGCACTTCTGCTAGAACATCTCTGATAGCTCTTAATGTTGGAGCCTGATTAGTGTGGGTGGCCCCCCTCAAACAAACAGGGTAGCCTCTATAAGAAAAAGGCCTCAAAACGAACCGGCGGTCTGGGGGATCCTATGGCTCCGATTAAAATCAAGCAGGAAAGAGGGATCCTTCGGCTTTTCTTGAATTCATAGTGGTTTGCTCAGTCTAGCTTTCAAAAGAATAGGAAGGGCAGGGTCCTCGGCCTTTAGGTTAAAAGGCCTGGCCTTGAAAACTTATGACAGGAAATTACGATGTACTTTAAATCATACACAATCTCTTTAAAACCAAGTAAAATCTATTAGAACTTGAAAGAGAAACCGTTAAGAACAAATTAGAAAGGCCTCACCATTAACCCGGCCAAAAAACCTTGACAGTATTGAGCGCCCCCAAATGATTTATATCATTGAGGATCAGGGGCTCTGCTGGACTGCCTACCCCCTTTAAGGAATTTGATTGCCTAGCCTGTTCGAATATGCGGTTTAACGAGAATCGATTATTTTGCTGTCGTCAGATTCCAGATTTGAGAGGCAATAGAGCCTCTCCTTTTGTTTAATTCCAGAATGCCAGACTTGCAAAACCAAATAATTCCAGAATTCTAGATTTGCAAAACCGAAGAATTCCAAATTTGCAAATCTAAAATTCTGGAACTGCTCTGCGAGGGGCTGTGCAGGCAATCAGGAAATGTCTGTGTGGTGCAGATTTTGCGGCAATTCAGACGTCGCCACACTATATGCTTCAAAGAGGCGGGCCTAGAAAAGAACAGAATGGGTGATTGTGAACTCACACCCTAAGCCCTAAACCCTAAATAGTGGTTTTGCATCTAATTTTCCATAACGCCTATATAACCCCAATATTACCCTTATATAACAAACCCTAAACCCAGTAAGCAGGATACGCCAGGAACCCCCAAACCCAACAAACCTGTCAGAATGCCCTAGCAAAATGCATAGAAACCTGAGAAGGGGCCCATAATGGATGTTAGCACCCCTCCATTTTGGTTTTGACCTAACCTATCATCATTGCATCTGCTGGTGACCATGATGGCTAAAGGCTTTCCGATTTCTGCGACCCCTGTTCTTACTAGCAAGCTGTTTATCACGGCAGTTACTATCATCACACAGCACCTGTCGCTACTACAGTGCCGTCTGCGGGACTGCGAAGCTGTAGGACTCCATCTCCTTAAGGTGGCCGAACTGTGATGCCGGCTCCAAGCGATACCACACCTGTGCAGACTAAGCGGTCATTCAGTGTTCATTTTTGGCCGGCCCAGCTTGGAACGAAGGATTTGTGTAATGTAGTCTAGTGTTCTTTCATGCTGTTTCTTTTCTCTCTCCAAGAAACCATTCTGCTTAAGGTGGCGTTCACCGTTTAGGAGGAGGAAGTGGTTGTCAACCCAATGAGGGAGTTGAGATTCAGGTTCAAGGTTTGAGTGATCTTGGACTAGGGGTATACCCTAAACCCTATAACCCCCAACTATACTGGATTGGCGTTCCAGCTTATGGAAAAGTGCTTATGGCTGGCAGAGGATTGTACTTAGAAGGCCTATGGGCCTGTGGATGCTTGTAGATGTCTGTTGCAGACTTCAAGGACCAACATGTGCAACTTCACTTCTGTCGGGACGCCGGAATACTCCCAATGGGAACTTGCGCATATCCACTTGCACGTTCGTAGTACGAGTGATCTTTATGGACCTTGGAAGCACACCCCAAATACAAACTTGGCAACCTCCTCAACAATACTAACATAGTCCTCCACTCCTCTTGACACTTCCTGCTATGTTCCCCATCTACCCCAGATCCCCAGGCGTGCCCCTGTTTTCCAACCCCCGATTTCAAAGCTGCCCCGAAATCCAAACAACACGTCGGCCGGTCGCCTGGGCCAGGTCCCGCACAGAGACCTCGGAAAACAAGGGCTATTTCTACAAATAGGGGTCTCCCATTCAGTTCTACAGGACCTGTTTTGTAGCTACACCAAGAAGGGGCCTGACTTTGGAGACAGATATTTGCAAATATCTGGAATGCCACACAACATACACAGTAGCTAGTGCATGTGGGCCGTGCTTCAAGTTCTCCACCCTCAGTCACCAGAAAATCCCTGACTGCAAGCCTAGCCCCCTAGATCCCTCTTTGAACCTGGCGCACATTCAAATACTTGGATTGACACAATGACAGCTCAAAGCATCCAACTGCTGAGCCAAGTCAAAGATCCTTATTGCGAAGCTAGCGCCGCCAAGAAAGCCCTTGTGCGATCGTTGAAATGCCTCCTCACAAATCATTCATGACTGAGGGTGTGGCATGCACGTTGGAGATGTGGCGGTTCTTCACCTGCCAAAGACGAAACGGCGGGAATGACGTTCCATGAGTTACTGGGTCTTGTAGGAGTAGTGCTACGAGAATATGAAGATGCCTGCGAGAAACGAGAGAAATCGCTTTACACAAATGGGCAAGGGTGCTTTTGACGGAGGCACAGTGTAGGGTGGACAGTTCTGCTACTGCTTGTATGTGATTGCAAGCAAATATCGAATTAAGTCTGCCGTCTGCCCTGCAACCATTCTTGCCAAATTCGGGAAACAAGCTCGATCCGTCGCAGCTGGCCAGCCCCTTTCCGCGCCACACTGCGAGCCCGAAAACCCCGACAGCATCTAAACGCTAATGCACAATTCTGAGACACTGAATGTCAAAGACTGGCCACGGAACAGCACATCCTCGAATTAAAGCTTCAATCAGTAAAGCTGTTATCCCCGGATCCCTCCCACACTCCATAGGCCTCTTTCTGGGCCAGGGCAACCAGCTTAGGGCTCAAGTCATAAGCCACCACCTGTGCGTGTTTGGGGATTGGGACGATAGGCTCAAGATAGGCTCTTTAGACTCTGGAGCTTTGTGAGGATCGGAGGCTTTCTGTCGGGCAGCTACCCGGTAAACATCCACAATCCACATGAATCAGGGGAATGCAAGTCCAGCTCCAGCCAGGCAAGTCTTATTTTGGTTCTGAAGCCTTCAGCCTTGGGTCAGGATCTTGTTGGTGGTTGATTAGCTGCCCCCCAGTCTCCCTCCTTCAAAACTTGCAACAGACGTCTGATAGTAGACTCGCTAGCCTCGTAAACTCAAAGATTACCTTCCCCCTTGCCTGGTGGAAGTGCTTGGCCAACTTGTGCAGATACCTTGGTCGGCTTCTTCAGAACTCTTGCTGTGTGCATGCTTCTGCATCCGCCGCAGCAATTCTCAGTTTCAACATGTTGTCTTTATGGTTGGAATTTTGGGTCATGTTATATTGCAACGTATAGTTTGCTGCTCTCCTTCATGCAATGATTTCCGCCAAGCAATTTGTGGTAGCAGTACAGCGATGCTATCGCTGAGATTCTTCGTCATGCAGGCAGAGGCACTTCCCCGCACCGCAGCCCAGGTCCTCGGTAGATTCTTGTTGGGAGTAAATCAAGTTTGGGAGTCTGGGGTTCCTGGGACACGAATGACTTGTCCAGGAGTTGTGGACATGGGCAAGGCCGGCTCTCTGCGCACCAACTCTTTTCCATGTCAACCTCAAAACCCCTGACAAATCCTACAGTAAGGCATACTCCTTATGTTGGAATCCTAGGAATCCCACCCTCCAAACCGGACAAACATCGACAAGCCTTGAAAACTGTAAGCCGGCCAGAGGTGCTCCCCAAATGCCCACAGGTGCCCTAAAGTAGGCCCAGGAGGCGAAGCCCAACAAATCTAAATGGACCCAGGATCTACGCAACGGCCGGGCCCCTCTTTGCCCTCGAGGCTGCGAGCACAACCCTGCGGGCCAAGGTTTCGTGCAGGATGCGTAAGTGGGTGCTTGATAATCCTCCTTCATTAAGGCTAATACGGGGATGTAGAGGACTGGACCCCGTGCTAGGGAACCATGGGTCGATGTGCCAACCTTGTAGCCTCTTCATTTGGGTCAGGATTATGGTGTCGGGCCCTCAGACATGGCTGCTCCAATCACTTCTTCCGGGCTTGGTTTAGATGTACGCACAAAGCATCACTTCGAGAATCTTACGAATGTGCACTAAGCCCAGGCCCACCGCCCTTGCCCCCTAAATGATGCAAAAGCATTCTGAATGGTCCCCCGAGAAAAAAACTAAACACACTTTTGAAGGAAAAGACACCCAAACCCAAAACCCGGTTCTTTTGGGAACCCCCCAAGTCTCCTCAATGGTCTCAGAGATGATGCCAGTCCTATCCTCATCGATCGTGGAAAAGATGTTGTCATCGTAATTCTTGGCCTGGCTGGCTGTTGGCCCAGAATTGCTCAGGGTTCAGGGTTTAGAGGGGTTCACGATTTAGGGCTTCGGGATCATCACGAAGATTTAGGGGTTGTGTTTAGCAGTATGGATGAAGAGAGAAATAGATAATCAGTTGCTCTTAGGTAAATAATACTATCATAGTATAGCTCCCGCTACTGTAACAACAACTCTCATTCCTTCATTGCCTACGGCCAGAGCGAGGCGACGGGGAAGGCTCAACAAATTCTGGAAGGAACTAGAGGGATTGCGAAGTGCTTAAGCAGGGTTCATGGGAATTGGGCCTTAGGATGTTCTTCTTCCGATCCTGAGGTCTCTCTTGGGGTCTCTGCAAGAAATCTGAAACGGCTGTTGGAGGACAGAATTCCATAGTAACCCAGCTTGAGGCCTGCAAAGATCTTGATATCCCAGCTTCAGCTCAAAAACCAAAAGGAGCTTGAACACTTTCCCTACGCAAGTCGTGAAAGACTGCTAACAACAGGCAAGTGCCAGTCCTAACCCCTAGGCCCTGAACCCTAAGTCCACATTTCTCAACCACAGCCCCCTGAATACTGGCTACATGAGCTTTGAACTGTCCCAGACATGTATTTTGCAGCTCATACCAGCATGATTATTCTAAAGCCTTCTCCTTCAGAATTGAGAGCTGCCTGCTGGTTCCAGTACTGCAGCGGCTGCTTCTCCATCGACCGCGTCATGGGCCGCTGTGTGGGCCGATGCCTCTTTGAGAGCTCCGGGCATAAGTGGCACGCGACTGTAGCACAACTGCTATATGAGCTGAGACACTGGAAACCGCTAGGCTGATCAAGATTACGCAGCCATGGTCATCAACCTCCTGAACCCAAAGCCCACTTGAAACACAAACAAGACTTGTTCCATGCAAACACTGCGACACTACATCGCAAACCTTCAGCCTTCAGAGATCACGTGCAATGTCTTGTCCTGATGCATGCTAGAGCCTAGACAAGACCTGTACACCTTCACAAAGTCCGAACAAATTGCTGTGTAATCTCTGTAACAGCTTTTGCATAACCTCCTCCTATACAATAGATGTAAGGCGTACAAACTGCTATTAAGCTCGCACATATTCTGTCTTGAGCACTGCGCCAAAATCCTAATGTCTCACAGACATTCTCCCAGGTGAGCCCACTTCCTGAGCTCTTCTGCGCTAGGGCACGCAGGCGTCGAGGAGGGACGGCGCAGAGGCGTTGGCGTGGCCGGGTGTGGTCCTGAGGCATAGGGGAGGAGCAAAACAGGGGACCTTCACCCCAAACGGTTTTTACCGGGATCACAGAGGGTGCAAGCACCGCGCAACCTCCCTTACCAAAGAGATCAGCCCAGTGACCAGCTGCGGTCTGTGCCCACGTTGAGCGCATGGAGGTCGGCCTCCACTGGGCATGTCCAAGGATCTTTCAAGAAGGCTGCGTATGGTTTTCTGAAAGTTGCGGTAAGTAATTCTGAGAGTTGAGGTCCTCTTAGAAGCTGTAGAAACATCAGCTTCCCAACAGTTCCACTAATGGTAACTGTGCTTGCGGGACCTTTTTGCCTCGTTGCCGCTGCTGAGCACAAGGCCCAAGACATCTGATGTGTACGTTAAGTCGCTTACAGTTCGCGGTAACTTATAGTCGTATGATACAATAACAAGGTGGGGGGGGGGGCACGTAGTTGGGCCTCGACTTTTCAACACGCTGCTATTTGCTTCTCCAACAAGCATACTGTCAATCCTGGGTCTTAAGATGTAGAGCGCGATCTGAGTGGTGCAGCGGTGCATGCCCGCTGGTCTCATGACTGGGCTTCAACTTCAAGGTGTACTGAGCCAATGCTCAGAAATCTAAGGCCATAGTAGAAAATAAAATGGAAACAACCAGATTATAATAGGGCATAGATAGGCGTTCTTTTTAGGGATAATGGAAAATACATTGGAAACTACAGACATAATGCCTCCGACATCACGCATGGGCCCTCAAGCCCTGTGCATTGGCAGCTGTAAGTAAGTGCCGCAGTGTACGTGGAACTTCTTCCACCTCTGTGAACACATGCTCATAGCCCGCAGCTAAACTCAACTCATCCAGCCCTGGTCTAAACCGTAAATTGAGCTGTAAATCTTCTAAACGCATTGGAAACTCTTGACCTAGAACAACTAAGCAAAAGAGGCAACAGCCCCTGTGTAAAGAGCTAAACGAGCTGATGAGAGTTGCTGGCTACCTTACTTACCAAAAAACGCTCTTTAGGCTCTCTCTGTGTCACCCATACACTGCATTCACACACCCTACCGGCACTCAACAACAACCCATATCTGCACTTGCAGGCTTTATCATACATTGCAAAACCCTATCGCCCACAAAAACCCAACAACCCAACACTCCAAGCCCTAAACCGCCTAAACCCTCCATACCCCAACATCTGGAGATGGCTTTGGATGCCAAGGGCCTTTTGCTGCGGCCAAAGGAGGCAGAGGCTGTGGCCGCAAAGGCAGACTGGGCGCCTGCGGCCGGTGGCTTAGGGTTTAGAAGGATATCGTACCCAAGGGGTCCTAATAACAGAGACTCAAACGGAAAATCAAGTGGACCATGAATCAAATCAAAGCTTGGTGTATGTGTTGGTAGGATTTGTGGTCCCCTTGTAGGACACAAGGTGCTTGCACTCGCCAACATTTCCAACAGGGTCCGTATTTGTATGCTTTCCATCTTTATGGTGTATCTGTCGATATGACGGTCCCAATTTATGCCACCAAAGCACGGAAGCTAGTCATGCGGCAAGGGAGTCTGCAATCCTCCATCTCACCGGAAGTAATATCCGAAATGCGGTTAGGGTTTCGGGTTCGGGAGTGATTGAATGTCCCACATGTTTAGACCTTCTTCTGGTGGCTTATCGCTTGCAATGCAGCGAATGCAGGACCCTACCCGGATCATCTGATACTAGAGTCTGAAGCAGACTTGCATGGATCTTGGGTTGCTCCAGAAATTCCCAGATGAAACATTAAAAATGGGAATAGATAGACAAACAGGCAGATGCCTGGCTAGACAAGCAAATTGACAAGTAGATAATCAGATTGGCAGCTAGGTGATAAAAAAGAAACATTGACCACATGTAGGCATTGAGGGAGCAGACATAAGCCAAAGCACCTCGCCGTCTTAAACCTTAAAGCCAGAACCGAATTCACGGCTGTATCTTCCAGAGTTGGCATCGCCTAAAATTGAACCCTAATTTGTCTATGAACTACCCTATAATCCTGATTTCCATGGCGTGTTGCATTGTCTTTTCCATTTGATTCTGCAAAATTGGGGCGGTACTAGCTCAAGTGCCTTTTGCTCTTGTTCTGACTCCGGCCTCGGCCAGCGTCTGAGTCTCTCATGGCCAAAGGAGGCCGGCTCCCGGCAGACATCCGAAGATCGGTATGTATTTCAGGTCTTGTGGGGGGTGTGAGATTTTGGGTGCTTGGGTCCTTGGGTTGTGGGGCCATTTGTTTAATCCAGTGCTGTCAGTTTTTGACATTACAGACCTCAGCAGCAGGATGTTTGCCTGCTGATATTGCTGGCAGGCCATAGAATCGTAATGCTGATAGTCCCCATCTCCGTTGTTAACGCTAGTTCCTCGACCCGTCACTATCTAGGGGACTAGAAGCAGGCTCTGCCCTACTTGAGCCGAAAAAACGAAAGCTGTCAAAGTTCAGGGTTACATAGATGTTGTGAGGATCTTACGCAGTATTCGAGAGTCATATGTTATGTAAGACTTGATGAAGCTTGGTGAAGGCTCGGGGGCTTTCTGCCGATAGTGAAGTTTGTTGTCGCCGGTTGCCTGGGTTGTACTGGCAACTATACAGCAGCAAGCCTGTCTTGGGGAAGTACGGTATAAATTGCATCGGCTAGCCCCAAGTGAACAGCAACTCGCTGGGGCTTCACCCTGGACCATCTGTCCTGCAAGTGCCATAGGTTGCTTAGCTTCGGATGAAACCTCTGTTCATAGCTGTGAAACACACCGTAGCTTACAAGTGAAAGACAGCATAAAACAAGTGCTAATGCCATGGCAATGCTTCTGATACCTCCAGGGACGACAAAAATGGCCCACCGCGATAGGAATCATAACGATACACATTGCAAACTGACTAAAAAGTGGTTTCCATTTTCTTTTCAATTATCCCTATACAACCCCAATATACTACAGTAATCTCCATGTTCATTTCCATGAAACCTTAAACCTCCTAGAAGGACAAAAAAAGCAGTCATAGCAAGCCAACTTTTCTCCTTGATCTGATCGTATATAAGGGATACCTGGTACATATCTTGAACTTTCCAAACTTGAAGTTCGACACACCGCAGGAGCAACATGTAAGAATGCAAAGGACCAACTAGCTTAAGCTATTGGTACAATAAGGCTTCCTCTGCTTGTATCTGATTTGAACTTGGGTCCTGCCCCCCTCAGTAACAATTGGAAAATGAATATAATATGGTTATATATAGCCCTTAATCGGACCCCCAGTATAGCATGTTACTGGGTAGGGGCAGTACCCAAAATGAACCTGTGTAACAGTTGGGCAAATCATAACCCACCCCCTAAAGCCGATGTCAAAAGCCTCCATGGGTGATGGTACCCGTCTTGTCGAAGACCATAGTGCTGATCTTCCCCGCAATGGGAATCCTGCTTGTAGGGCATCCCTGGAAATTTAGACCCAGGTTGTGGGAAGATTGTGTTTTAGAGGTTCGGAGTATGGAGGGTCCCTGTGTACCTTGGCCGAAATACACAACACGGAAATCAGCAACCTGATGCAAGGATAACCTTGCCTTCTGTGCCATATAACTCTGCTTAAAATAAATCCACAAGAACTCATGAGAAGCAGAAAGAGTCAGGAAGGCGTTCCATGGGGTTTCTTCCTACCTTCGACTACGAAAATCCCGAAAGCAAAGCTGCGATACTTCGTGGCTATGTTTGGCGCTTGATGCGAGTAAGGAGTACAAGAAATCTGCGGTTTCCTTGACAGTGACGTTAGCCCACAGAATCTCTGCCTGGTCAGCTTTAGGTACTCCTAAAGAAAAACTGCAAGCATGGCAGCCTCCGCAAAGATACTCCGTATGCACTAGGAACCGGTGGAAACAACCATGTGAGCTTGGTGGCACGCAGTGCAAATCCCCTGCGCCATACTGATCTTCATCAGATCTGGAAGCATATATCACATGGTTAAGTCTGGCAGAAGGTTGAAGCCTGCAAGTCTGCAGGAATTTCAGGCTTGGAGTTTAGGGGCCATAGTTTAGGGTTTGCAGTAGTGCATCGGCGAACCACGCAGTCATCCAGTGGGCACAACATGCTTTGAGAATACTTGCTAAACTTGCAGCTCCAATCCTTTGTGCGCGGTGCGGCATGGACACTTTGTCTAAGGACAGCTCTAGAACCTTCGAACTCGCTTAGGACAATGTCTTGGGCAAACCCCAAGTGCAACACCTGGACGAAGGTTGTAAGAGCCATACGAGCTGTGCAGATGACTTGTCAAGATGCAAGAATAGGTAAGCGACGCTTCTGAATGAACACCGGGACAATCCGACGAAGCCAAAGCTGAATTCAGAACATGACAATCCATGTGCTACCTTCCCACGAGACATACGGAGAACTTTGGTGCTGCTCTTACAAGGACACCCAAGGAGCAAATCTTTTTTCCTGGACCCCAGCATGTTCTTTGAGCTGATGTCCTCCCAATGTTCAGGCAAGCAATGTCGCCTTCCTTCAGTCTGGACGCGCTGCAGCTCTGCCCGAGGGTGAAGGAAACAGCCTTGAGCGTATAGCGGGGTTAGCAAAATCATGGGTGACCCCTAACAAGAATCAGGATTTTGGCACACATTGGGAATGCCCGTTAAAGGGCTTCCAGGTTTGCTTGGGGCAGTATACCACTTAGAAACATGGTGATTCCCCCAAATTAAGCTACCCCAATTTCAGGGTTTAGGGATATTGCCCCCAATAATGGAGAATCAAGTGGAAAAGGAAATGGAAACTGGGGCGAAGGGGTAGTTTCCAGAAATAGAGGGATTTCAATGTAGACCCAAAATACTATAATCCTTTCGATGGGGACCCGCCAAAATGCTATCCCTAATTTTTGGAAACACCCAAATAGATGGGCTGCAGAGGGAGTGCTGAGCCAGAGCCGTCTCAAGAGCTGCGTATGTGATAGAAAGAGTCAGAGTACGTGCAACAGTAATTAGCACTGACAAGTACTTCTACGAATTCATAGAACAGCATTCGTAGTGTTAGCAATGGTAAGTATACAAGCCGACAGGCAAGGAAGACAAATCACAAAAGTCAACTTACTTTCTCAAAAGCTGGGATCGCACGCGGTGAAGGATGCTGACATTCCGGATCCCAAACCTGCCAACCCCCCTCCCCCCGCCTTCCGAACTCACAGGATTACAAGAATCCGGCGGAAAAGCTGGAGGCTTCCTACAGGGACCGGTGTGAGCAATCCCCCTAACATTTGGAGAGGGGACTGTTGTGGCGT